CCTCACAGGGAAGAATTCCTTCCTTATAGCTAATCTAGCCCTGCCCTCTGGCAGTGTGAAACCATTCCCCCTTGTCCCATCACTCCATACCCTTATCAAAAGTGCCTCTCCTGCTCTCTTGGAGCCTCTTAAAGCACTTGAAGGGGCTTTAAGGTCTCCCTGGAGCCTTCTCTTCTCCATGCTGAACAATTCCAGCTCTTTTAACGGGGTTTTTTTTTTAGAGGCAAGAGGCAAGTTTTTCCCTTCTCTTATTTAACTCCTTTCTGGGAAAAAGCCCTTAAGAAGTAACAGAAAGTAAGCACAAAAGTGCTTGGAGAAGGGTGGGTCTCCACCCAGGCTGCTACATCCTGCCAATGCCCAGGTCCATCAGCCTGGCTGAACTCACAGTTTCTCCCAGCTCAGCTGGGAAACCCATCCTGCTGCTGGCTCCTGCAGCTCCCAAGCTCCTCCTCACCTTGAATTTCCGGAAGGGGCTGAAGTGCCGGACCTCCTCCACGTCGTACTGCTGGAAGAAGGGGTGGGCCAGCGCCTCCCCGGCCGTGTACCTCTGCCGCGGGTCCACCACCAGGAACCTGGAGATCTGCAGGAGGGCAAGGGATCACCCTGGGGTATCCCACGTGTCTGCAAACCTCCCAAGTTTTCCCATCCCAAGCACCTACCAGGTCCTTGACAGTGTCCGAGCGGTCGTCCCACTCTGGGGAGCCAAACTGGTAGTCCCCGTTCATGATCATCCGCAGCATCAGCATCTGCTTGCGGTGCCAGAAGGGAGGGGATCCAGCCAGCAAGGTGTACATGATCACCCCAGTGCTCCACCTGTGGGCAGCCCAGACAGACCCTGCAGCCCCCTGTGTGGCACCCCAGGGGTGGCTACATGTGCCTGTGCCTCCCTGGAAAACTAGAAGGAAACTGCCCTGTGTGGTGTACTGTGAGGGAGGCTGAGCTCACTGCTGAGCCTCATTTGCCCTGATGGCTAATAAGGAGCAGAGGCTGCACTACTGATTGGAGTCGAGTTGCATCCTGGATGCTGCAGGAGGAAGCTGTGAAATGGAGGCATTTGTCCTTCTTGGTGTTTTTTTAAGGGAAGGTTGTGGAGTAAGATGTGGTGGTGCCAGTGAGGGTGGATGCTCTGGGGCATAGCTCAGGTTGGGGTGTGCCAAGTGTCCTACCATGGCAGTTAACAGTAGTGTTTGAACTGAAAAGGGGCTGAACTGCACCAGTGTGTTTCCAGTGCTTGGTTGCAGCTCTGAGCGCTGTGGACCTGAGCAAGGAGCCACCAGAGATGGTGGCAAAGTTCCAGAGATGGTGACAAAGTCCCTGCAGGGCTCTAACAGACCTTCCTGAGCTGGCTGCTCTCCCAGGGGCTGCCTTGGGTTCATGTATGTTTAAACAAGGTGTGTTCAAACAAGGTGTGTGTCTGTGTCTTGGAACTCAGCAGAGGTGATTTTTATGAGCAGGAAGTGTTGCTTTCCCTCCTCCCTGATGGAGCAAAGCAGGGAGATGGGCTTGTTTCCAGGCTGTTTCTTCCCCAGCTCTAAGCCAGAGCCCCCTGGTCACCCGGAAAACCCCTCAGATACCAAAGTTGTCTTTTGGTGCATGATTTAGTTCCTTCCAAACACACTAATGGGTCCCCATCAGCACAACTTTGGCTGTGCCTCAAACCACGTGTGTTTTGGGAGCAGCATGAGGGGCAAGGCAGGGGGGGCAAAGTCACTCACATATCAACCTCCTTCCCATAGCCTTGGTGCTCGTCATCCATGGAGCACTGCAGGATCTCGGGGGCCAGGTAGCCAGGTGTGCCACAGATCTCTGTGGAGACATGACAGAGCATCCCCCTGAGCCACCCAGGGGTGTTTGTGCCATCCTACCCACCCTGAGCAGTCAATGAGAGGGACTGGTGGGATCTTTGCAGTGATGGTGCTCACAGGGAGTAACTGAAACTCATATACATCTCACTGGTGACCTTCTTGGTGAATTATAGCAGCTAAAAGGTCAGTGAAAAGAGCAATGGGGGTGCTGGTGGGAGGGGATGCCTCTTGTTGGATATGTGGCCCTTTGCACATAGGAGTTGAGGGGAAAAAAACCTTAAGGTTGGGCACGAAATGGACACAGCAATGAGGATCCACTGGAGGGAAAAATAAGTGGAAAGAATAGGATGGTTTTCCTAACAGGCAGCAAAATTTTCCTGGCAAGGAGTGTGGAAGTCTTGTGCAGACAGTTTGTGTGTGACCCCAAGATCAGCACTAATTTGAACTCACAGCAGTGAGACTGGCCCCAAGGAGACACTGGGGCAGGAGAAACTCCACCGACTCGCTGTGGGCACTGCAGCACCAGGGTGGGCCATGGGCCAGCCCAGCATCACTCCCACCTCACCATCCCCTACCTTTGAGCTTCTCATTCTCGTTCAGCTGGCAGGAGAAGCCAAAATCTGTCAGCTTAATGTTCATGTCATCATCCAGGAGGATGTTCTCTGGCTTCAGGTCCCGGTGGACAATGTTGATGGAGTGGAGGTACTGGATCACTTCCAGCAGCGCTCGCATGATCTTCCTGGGGATGGGTGACAGCACATCTCCTAGCCCAATGCCCACCAGCACCTCACTCCCAGGGATGGGGACAGGGACAGGGACCATGCAGCTCAGCTCCTATGCCTGAGCACAACTTGGGGGGCTGTTTTTCCCCTGGGTGCTGTGCTGGCTGCAGGGTCCTTAGAACCCACACTATGCTTTTGTGACATGGCTCTCAGCCATCTGCATCTGGCCTTACCTGGTTTCTTTCTCGCTCAAGGTGACTTTCTCAGTGAGGTAGTCGAAGAGCTCCCCTCTCTTCATCCTGCATGAGGGAGGGGAAATGAAGTCAAGCAGCAGCTGAGCTGCACCAGCAAACCAGCCCCAAGCCCCTGGGGAGGATCACCCTCCCAGCCTGGGAGTCACTGCCTCTCAACAGCCCAGGGCATCCCTTACACAAAAGAACAAGATGACTTGTTGTAAAAAGGGATAAAAATGCCTTTACGCTGTAAAACATCAAGTGGGAAGAGAAAATTCTGTGCCTGGAGAGGGCAGGTTTTGGATAGAGTCATAGAATTGTTAAGGTGTAAGACCTGTAAGATGATCAAGTTCAACCATCAAAGATGGGACAGGGACAGGGCTGTCCCAGAGCCATCCCGCTCCACTGACATCCTGTCATCAGGAGTTGTGGTGTCACAGACACTCTGGTCCCACTGAGCATATAAATAACCCACAGGGATGCATGAGAGCTCCCACAAAATGTTACAGGGAAACCTGAGCAGCGCTGAGCCGCTGACGGAGGGAAACAGTGCTGGCGGCAAGGCTGCGACAAGCTCAGCAGTCAAAGCTTGTTTTTGCCTTGAGCAAGAGCTATTTGTCCCCACACTTTGTCCTGTCTGGGTCATAAAAAGCTGGGGCCAATCTCCAGAGTGGGAACAGGCCTGGGGTGCTGGCCAAACTGGTACTTACAGGTCAAACACCAAGAAGAAGAAGGTGCTGGATTCATAGCTGTCCTTCAGCTGGACTGCAATAAAACACAGGCACAGTGAGCACAGTGTATACCATATTCCTGTCCATCAGTGGTCTCAAAATTGCTGATTTAATTGCTAATTGAATTAAGGAGGAGTTATCTTCACTAGTGGTTTGGTTGGGAGACAGCCTGGGCAGCACGTGCACTGCTGGCATGTGTGCAGAGGTAGAGCAAACGATGCCCTGTGTTGTGGCAGGACCATCAGAGCTCTGACCCTCCAGGGATTCCACTCCAAAAACCCTTCCTGGGAACATCTCAAAGAATAAAGAGGGCAGCAAACCCCCTTGCCCTGATGCTCAGGGCCTGACTTACTGACGTTTGGGTGGCCCGAGACCTTCCGGAGGATGTCGATCTCTTTAGTGGTGGCTTCGCGCAGTTCCTGCACCTCCTTGGGGGATATGTTTCCCGCCGTGATGTCAATAATCTTCACAGCATACTCTTGCCTGGTGCTTTTGTGGATGCACCGACGGACGACACTGCTCACCCCCCTGCCAGGGACAACACAGACACCGTGGGGGTTCCATCCCTCCCCATCCAGCCCAACTCCACAGCTGTGCCAGCAGCACCTTGGGGCTGGTTGGTATTTTCACGCACGAGCGGGTCTCACTCTGTCACCCTGTCTCGGTGGGACAGAAGGTTTTGAGCTGCTGGAAAGTGCTGTTCCATGCTATTTTTAGCCCCATGCTGCTGTGGGCCCTGTTAGTATCAGATTCCCAGGGAACACTGTTCCTATTGGGTACTGGAGTTCATGAAACCAAAACAAGCTTTTTGCCAGAAACAACCTTTACCTGCCCAACACCTCCTTCGGCTCATACTTTTCATAAAACTCTTTGGATGAGTTCCAGTCTGGTAGGTCTTCTTCCTTGGTCATCTCTGGCTCCTGACTGGAACACTCTGGGCTCGTCTGCTGACAGAAGGGGCTGCAAGAAGAAGAGTGAGGATGGGCACACTGCCCCCAGGGCAGGGACCCTCAATCCCTTCTGGAGGAGAAAATATTGAGGAGGAAGAAGGAGGAGGATGCTCCTGGACCAAACAACAAAGGGGCTATTTTGCTGGTTGGAAAAGCCAAGCTTTGCCCTTGGCACCCTGTGGAGAGCCCACTGAGAACAGCAGAAATCCCCTGTAGCCTGCCTGTCCCCCCTGGCTGGGGTCAAGGCTTTGGGAATTGCTGCAGCACCTCAGAACCTCATCCCTTCCTTGCACTCACCTCACAGGACAAGCAGCAGCCTCCAGAAACGTCACCCTGTGCCAACACGACCCCAAGTCCCTGCCAAGCACTGGAATCTGCCTTTGGTTTTTTTCCTTATTATTTTTAAGACAAAAAAAGTTTCCTTTGGCTGAGAAGAAAGAGAGAAAAATAATGTTTACAGGGAAGGGAAATGGACTAAGGAGGGCAAACAGGTGGTGAGGGTGAGTGAAGCAGGTCAGGGTGCAGGCAGGGACCAGGTGCCTGGGGACAGCCAGCGCTGCGGGGTCAGCCAGGGCCAAGCCAGCATGAGGACAGTGTCTGAGCAAGCTTCCTCAGCCACCACAGCAGCTGCCAGCAGCCTCCAAAACTCCTGAAAGGCTCCTGTCCCATTTATTTTTCCTATTTCAGGGCTGGGGTTTTTTTGCTATGTGCTGCCGTTGCTGGAGGAGGAGCAATGTGACAGTGTTTTAGTAGAGGGGAGGAAAACTAAGCAGTACTCCTGACCCCTAATTTTAACTGGCTTTTCCCTTTAAGCCCTCAGAACTGGATGTCCTCAGTTTGTTTCTGTGCCCATACACGGAGTCCAAGCGGTTAGAGTGGCAAGCAGCTCTTAACAAGTTTGGACAGCAAAACTGTCACTTTGTGGTGACAATTTGTGGCAGGGGAAGGGACAGAGATGGGCAAGAGATCCCTGATACTGTGGGTTTTCCTTTGCCCTCCTCTCCGAGGTGGCAATAACTGTGCCAGGGCAGTGATCTTTCTAAGTACATTAAATCTCATTATCATTGTGTATCTGTCCTGACCCGGTTGTAAGGACCGATGTGGTGTTTTGGGTGTCTGTCCACTGCTGCTGCTGAGAGGTGTCTAATATAGGTTGGAGTATTTCTAAACAGCTACGAGTTTGGTTTCATTTATACCATTTTAGCTGTTGAAAAATATTGTAATGCTAAACCATGTCTGGGCTGGAATTATACATGAGAGGGCAGGATCAGGAAGTAGAGAAAAAAGAGTTAACTCCGAGGTGGGTGAGAACCAACCACTTTGATTATTTTTGAAGTGGAAAAATCCAAGTCCTGGGGGTTTGGGGATGCGGGGAAGGGCTGGGGGCATCCGCGGAGCACTGCCGGGAGCAGCCTGGGACCTGCGTGCTGCCTTCTGCGGGGAGGAAAGAGCCGGGAGTTCGTTTCAAACAGCCTGGAATTACAGAGGCAGGGCACTAAGGGGATCCTCTGCGTTTATTGTGGGCGTGCAGGAGGGGGC